GACCCACACTTAGGGGGCAGAGCGCCCCATAGACACGCACTTAGGGGGCAGAGCACCACATAGAGCGGGTCATAGACACGCAGCATGGACGTGCCCAACATCAAGAGGAACGACTTCCAGGTACCGACCCACACTTGGGGGGCAGACCCACACTTAGGGGTCCGGGCGCCCCATAGACACGCACTTAGGGGGCAGAGCGGGCCATAGAGCGGGTCATAGACACGCAGCATGGACGTGCCCAACATCAAGAGGAACGACTTCCAGGTACCGACCCACACTTGGGGGGCAGACCCACACTTAGGGGGCAGAGCGCCCCATAGACACACACTTAGGGGGCAGAGCGCCCCATAGAGCGGGTCATAGACACGCAGCATGGACGTGCCCAACATCAAGAGGAACGACTTCCAGGTACCGACCCACACTTGGGGGGCAGACCCACACTTAGGGGTCCGGGCGCCCCATAGACACGCACTTAGGGGGCAGAGCACCCCATAGAGCGGGTCATAGACACGCAGCATGGACGTGCCCAACATCAAGAGGAACGACTTCCAGGTACAGACCCACACTTGGGGGGCAGACCCACACTTAGGGGTCCGGGCGCCCCATAGACACACACTTAGGGGGCAGAGAACCCCATAGAGCGGGTCATAGACACGCAGCATGGACGTGCCCAACATCAAGAGGAACGACTTCCAGGTACCGACCCACACTTGGGGGGCAGACCCACACTTAGGGGTCCGGGCGCCCCATAGACACACACTTAGGGGGCAGAGAACCCCATAGAGCGGGTCATAGACACGCAGCATGGACGTGCCCAACATCAAGAGGAACGACTTCCAGGTACCGACCCACACTTGGGGGGCAGACCCACACTTAGGGGGCAGAGCGCCCCATAGACACACACTTAGGGGGCAGAGAACCACATAGAGCGGGTCATAGACACGCAGCATGGACGTGCCCAACATCAAGAGGAACGACTTCCAGGTACCGACCCACACTTGGGGGGCAGACCCACACTTAGGGGGCAGAGCGCCCCATAGACACACACTTAGGGGGCAGAGCACCACATAGAGCGGGTCATAGACACGCAGCATGGACGTGCCCAACATCAAGAGGAACGACTTCCAGGTACCGACCCACACTTGGGGGGCAGACCCACACTTAGGGGGCGCCCCAGACACACACTTAGGGGGCAGCCCCCATAGACACACACTTAGGGGGCAGAGCACCACATAGAGCGGGTCATAGACACGCAGCATGGACGTGCCCAACATCAAGAGGAACGACTTCCAGGTACCGACCCACACTTGGGGGGCAGACCCACACTTAGGGGTCCGGGCGCCCCATAGACACACACTTAGGGGGCAGAGCACCACATAGAGCGGGTCATAGACACGCAGCATGGACGTGCCCAACATCAAGAGGAACGACTTCCAGGTACCGACTAACACCGACCCACACTTGGGGGGCAGACCCACACTTAGGGGGACGTGCCCAACATCAAGAGGAACGACTTCCATAGACTTGGGGGGCACACACTTAGGGGGCCCCATAGACACACACTTAGGGGGCAGAGCACCACATAGAGCGGGTCATAGACACGCAGCATGGACGTGCCCAACATCAAGAGGAACGACTTCCAGGTACCGACCCACACTTGGGGGGCAGACCCACACTTAGGGGTCCGGGCGCCCCATAGACACACACTTAGGGGGCAGAGCGCCCCATAGACACACACTTAGGGGGCAGAGCACCACATAGAGCGGGTCATAGACACGCAGCATGGACGTGCCCAACATCAAGAGGAACGACTTCCAGGTACCGACCCACACTTGGGGGGCAGACCCACACTTAGGGGGCAGAGCGCCCCATAGACACACACTTAGGGGGCAGAGCACACCATAGAGCGGGTCATAGACACGCAGCATGGACGTGCCCAACATCAAGAGGAACGACTTCCAGGTACAGACCCACACTTGGGGGGCAGACCCACACTTAGGGGGCAGAGCGCCCCATAGACACACACTTAGGGGGCAGAGCACCCCATAGACCCACGCAGCATGGACGTGCCCAACATCAAGAGGAACGACTTCCCAGGGGCTGACCCACACTTGGGGGGCAGACCCACACTTAGGGGGCAGAGCGCCCCATAGACACACACTTAGGGGGCAGAGCACCCATAGAGCGGGTCATAGACACGCAGCATGGACCCGCTATCAAGCCAACGAACTTCCACTTCCTCACCCATAGCTACTTAGGGGGCTGACCCACACTTATGGGGCTGACCCACACTTAGGGGGCTGACCCACACTTAGGGGGCAGAGCACCCCATAGAGCAGGCCATAGACACACAACATGGACGTGCCCCACATCAAGAGGAACGACTTCCAGGTACCCACCCATACTTGGGGGGCAGACCCACACTTAGGGGGCAGAGCGCCCCATAGACACACACTTAGGGGGCAGAGCACCCATAGAGCGGGTCATAACACGACCATGGACGTGCCCAACATCAACCAACTTCCACTTCCCCACACCATAGCTACTTATGGGGCTGACACACACTTATGGGGGTCTGATGGACCCCAACATCAAGAGGGCTTCCAGACCCACACTTAGGGGGCAGACCCACACTAGAGCAGGCCATAGACACACAACATGGACGTGCCCCACATCAAGAGGAACGACTTCCAGGTACCCACCCATAGCTACTTATGGGGCTGACCCACACTTAGGGGGCTGACCCACACTTAGGGGGCAGAGCACGCCATAGACCCACAACACGACCATGCCCGCTATCAACCAACTTCCACTTCCCCACCCATAGCTACTTATGGGGCTGCCCCCCACTTATGGGTCTGACCCCCACTTAGGGGGCTGACCCACACTTAGGGGGCAAAGCACGCCATAGACCCACAACACGACCATGCCTGCTATCAACCAACTTCCACTTCCCCACCCATAGCTACTTATGGGGCTGACCCCCACTTAGGGGGCAGAGCACCCCATAGAGCAGGCCATAGACACACAACATGGACGTGCCCCACATCAAGAGGAACGACTTACAGGTACCCACCCATAGCTACTTATGGGTCTGACCCACACTTAGGGGGCAGAGCGCCCCATAGACACACACTTAGGGGGCAGAGCACGCCATAGACCCACAACACGACCATGCCCGCTATCAACCAACTTCCACTTCCCCACCCATAGCTACTTATGGGGCTGACCCACACTTAGGGGGCAGAGCGCCCCATAGATCCACACTTAGGGGGCAGAGCACGCCATAGACCCACAATGTGACCATGTCCACTATCAACCAACTTCCAGTTCCCCACCTATAGCTACTTGTGGGTCTGACCCACACTTAGGGGGCAGAGCGCCCCATAGACCCCCACTTAGGGGCCAGAGCGCCCCATAGACACACACTTAGGGGGCAGAGCACGCCATAGACCCACAACACGACCATGCCCGCTATCAACCAACTTCCACTTCCCCACCCATAGCTACTTATGGGGCTGACCCCCACTTATGGGTCTGACCCCCACTTATGGGGCTGAACCCTTCGCTATGGGGCAGCCCCCTAAGTGCTTGGCTATGGGGCAGCTCATAGGCATCCAGGACGGGTACCTGTCCCTGCTGCAAGACAGCGGCGAAGTGCGCGAGGACCTGAGGCTGCCCGAGGGGGAGCTGGGCAAGGAGATCGAGCAGAAATACGACTGTGGGGAGGAGATCCTGGTACTTGTGGGGCGCTATGGGGTGTCTATGGGGCGCTATGGGGTGTCTATGGGGCGCTAATGGGTGTCTATGGGGCGCTATGGGGTGTCTATAGGGCGCTATGGGGTGTCTATGGGGCGCTATGGGGTGTCTATGGGGCGCTAATGGGTGTCTATGGGGCGCTATGGGGTGTCTATGGGGCGCTATGGGGTGTCTATGGGGCGCTATGGGGTGTCTATGGGGCGCTAATGGGGTGTCTATGGGGCGCTATGGGGTGTCTATGGGGCGCTATGGGGTGTCTATGGGGCGCTATGGGGTGGCTATGGGGCGGCTATGGGGCTCTATGGGTGTCTATGGGGTGTCTATGGGGGTCTGTGGGGTGTCTATGGGGCGCTATGGGTGTCTATGGGGCGCTATGGGGTGTGTATGGGGTTTTATGGGGGTCTGTGGGGCGCTAATGGGTGTCTGTGGGGCGTCTGTGGGGCACTATGGGGCGCTACGGGGTGCTGTGGGGTGTCTATGGGGCACTGTGGGGTGTCTATGGGGTGTCTATGGGGCGCTATGGGGTGTCTATGGGGTGTCTATGGGGCACTGTGGGGATATGGGAGGAGCTATGGGGCTCTGTTGGGCAAGGAGATCGAGCAGAAATACGACTGGGGAGGAGATCCTGGTACTTGTGGGACGCTATGGGGTGTCTATGGGGTGTCTATGGGGCTCTATGGGGCTCTATGGGTGTCTATGGGGTGTCTATGGGGCGCTATGGGGTGTCTGTGGGGCTCTGTGGGGTGTCTATGGGGCGCTATGGGGTGTCTATGGGGCGCTATGGGGTGCTGTGGGGTGTCTATGGGGCTCTATGGGGCTCTATGGGGTGTCTATGGGGCGCTGTGGGGGTTTGAGAGGAGCTATGGGGCTCTATTGGGCAAGGAGATCGAGCAGAAATACGACTGTGGGGAGGAGATCCTGGTACTTGTGGGGCGCTATGGGGTGGCTATGGGGCGCTATGGGGTGTCTATGGGGCTCTATTGGGTGTCTATGGGGTGTCTATGGGGCGCTGTGGGGTGTCTATGGGGCTCTATGGGTGTCTATGGGGTGTCTATGGGGCGCTATGGGGTGTCTATGGGGCTCTGTGGGGTGTCTATGGGGCGCTATGGGGTGTCTATGGGGCTCTATGGGGTGTCTATGGGGCTCTATGGGGCTATAAGGGGTGTCTATGGGGCTCTATGGGGTGTGTCTATGGGGCGCTATGGGGTGTCTATGGGGCGCTATGGGGTGTCTATGGGGCGCTATGGGGTGTCTATGGGGCGCTATGGGGTGTCTATGGGGCGCTATGGGGTGTCTATGGGGTTTTATGGGGGTCTGTGGGGCGCTGTGGGGTGTCTATGGGGTGTCTATGGGGCGCTATGGGGTGTCTATGGGCGCTATGGGGTGTCTATGGGGCGCTATGGGGATTTGGGAGGAGCTATGGGGCTCTGTTGGGCAAGGAGATCGAGCAGAAATACGACTGTGGGGAGGAGATCCTGGTACTTATGGGGCGCTATGGGGTGTCTATGGGGCACTATGGGGTGTCTGTGGGGTGGCTATGGGGCGCTATGGGGTGTCTATGGGGCGCTATGGGGTGTCTATGGGGCGCTATGGGGTTTTGTGGGGAGCTATGGGGTGTCTGTGGGGCGCTATGGGGTGGTTATGGGGTGTCTATGGGGTGGCTATGGGGTGTCTATGGGGCGCTATGGGGTGTCTATGGGGCACTATGGGGTGTCTATGGGGTGTCTGTGGGGTGCTATGGGGTGCCTATGGGGCTCTATGGGGTGTCTGTGGGGCTCTATGGGGTGTCTATGGGGCGCTATGGGGTGTCTATGGGGCGCTGATGGGTGTCTGTGGGGCGCTGATGGGTGTCTGTGGGGCGCTGATGGGTGTCTGTGGGGCTCTATGGGGGCTCTATGGGGCGCTATGGGGTGTCTATGGGGCGCTATGGGGTGTCTCTGGGGTGTCTATGGGGCGCTATGGGGTGTCTATGGGGCTCTATGGGGGCTCTATGGGGTGTCTATGGGGTGTCTATGGGGCGCTATGGGGTGTCTATGGGGCGCTTTGGGGTGTCTATGGGGCGCTTTGGGGTGTCTATGGGGCGCTATGGGGTGTCTGTGGGGTGCTATGGGGTGTCTATGGGGTGTCTATGGGGGTCTATGGGGCGCTATGGGGTGTCTATGGGGCGCTATGGGGTGTCTATGGGGTGCTATGGGGTGTCTATGGGGTGCTATGGGGTGCTATGGGGTGTCTATGGGGCGCTATGGGGTGTCTGTGGGGCACTATGGGGTGTCTATGGGGCGCTGTGGGGTGTCTATGGGGTGTCTATGGGGCGCTGTGGGTGTCTGTGGGGTGCTATGGGGTGTCTGTGGGGTGTCTATGGGGCGCTGTGGGTGTCTGTGGGGTGCTATGGGGTGTCTGTGGGGTGTCTATGGGGCGCTGTGGGGTGTCTATGGGGTGTCTATGGGGCGCTATGGGATGTCTGTGGGGTGTCTGTGGGGCGCTATGGGGTGTCTGGGGTGTCTGTGGGGCGCTATGGGGTGTCTGTGGGGTGTCTGTGGGGCGCTATGGGGTGTCTATGGGGTTTTATGGGTGTCTGGGGCGCTATGGGGTGTCTATGGGGTGTCTATGGGGCGCTAATGGGGGTCTGTGGGGTGTCTATGGGGCGCTATGGGGTGTCTGTGGGGCGCTATGGGGCGCTATGGGGTGTCTATGGGGTTTTATGGGGGTCTGTGGGGTGCTAATGGGTGTCTATGGGGTGTCTGTGGGGTGCTATGGGGCACTATGGGGTGTCTATGGGGCGCTGTGGGGTGTCTGTGGGGCGCTATGGGGTGTCTATGGGGTGTCTGTGGGGCGCTATGGGGTGTCTATGGGGCGCTATGGGGTGTCTATGGGGTGTCTATGGGGGGCTATGGGGTGTCTATGGGGTTTTATGGGGGTCTGTGGGGTGTCTGTGGGGCGCTAATGGGTGTCTATGGGGCGCTAGTGGGTGTCTGTGGGGCTCTATGGGGCTCTGTGGGTGTCTATGGTGTTTTTATGGGTGTCTCTGTGTCTCTATGGGGCTCTGTGGGTGTCTATGGGGCTCTGTGGGTCACTCTGTGTCTCCTGCCCTAGATCACGGTGCTGTCAGCCATGACTGAGGAAGCTGCTGTCGCCATCAAGGCCATGGCAAAATAGGGGAGATGCAGGTGTGGGGCAGGGGGGGGCGCTATGGGGCAGCTCTATGGGGTGGGGGGTGTGCTATGGGGCAGCTCTATGGGGTGGGGGGTGCTATGGGGCAGCTCTATGGGGTGGGGGGTGCTATGGGGCAGCTCTATGGGGTGGGGGGGGCGCTATGGTGCAGCTCTATGGGGTGGGGGGGTGCTATGGGGTGGGGGGGTGCTATGGGGCAGCTCTGTGGGGTGGGGGGCGCTATGGGGCAGCTCTGTGGGGTGGGGGGGGTGCTATGGGGCAGCTCTATGGGGTGGGGGGGGTGCTATGGGGCAGCTCTATGGGGTGGGGGGGTGCTATGGGGCAGCTCTATGGGGTGGGGGGGGCGCTATGGGGCAGCTCTGTGGGGTGGGAGGGGTGCTATGGGGCAGTGCTTTGGGGTGTGGAGGGGATGGGCTATGGGGCAGGGGTTGCTGTAGGGCAGAGGGGGTGCTATGGGGCAGGAGGGATTCCTTTGGGTCCAGGGTCTCCACTATGGGGCTGGGATCTCCCCTATGGGGCTGGGATCTCCCCTATAGGTCCAGCATCACTGCTATGGGGCTGGAGGTGCTCTCCTGTGGGTCCAGGGGCTGTGCTATGGGGCTGGGGTCTCCCCTATAGGTCGAGGATCACTGCTATGGGGCTGGGGGTGCTCTGCTATGGGGCTGGGATCTTCCCTATGGCTCAAGCACCATGGCCATGGGGCCAAGCCTCCTCTATGGGGCCGAGCCTCCTCTATGGGGCCGAGCCTTCTCTATGGGGCCGAGCCTCCTCTATGGGGCTGAGCCTTCTCTATGGGGCCGAGCCTCTATGGGGCCGAGCCTTCTCTATGGGGCCGAGCCTCCTCTATGGGGCCGAGCCTCCTCTATGGGGCCGAGCCTTCTCTATGGGGCTGAGCCTTCTCTATGGGGCCGAGCCTCCTCTATGGGGCTGAGCCTCTATGGGGCCGAGCCTCCTCTATGTGGCCGAGCCTCCTCTATGGGGCTGAGCCTTCTCTATGGGGCCGAGCCTCTATGGGGCCGAGCCTTCTCTATGGGGCTGAGCCTTCTCTATGGGGCCAAGCCACCTCTATGGGGCCGAGCCTCCTCTATGGGGCTGAGCCTCCTCTATGGGGCCGAGCCTTCTCTATGGGGCCGAGCCTCCTCTATGGGGCTGAGCCTCCTCTATGGGGCCGAGCCTTCTCTATGGGGCCGAGCCTCCTCTATGGGGCCGAGCCTCCTCTATGGGGCCGAGCCTCCTCTATGGGGCTGAGCCTCCTCTATGGGGCTGAGCCTCTTCTATGGGGCTGAGCCTCCTCTATGGGGCCGAGCCTTCTCTATGGGGCCGAGCCTCCTCTATGGGGCCGAGCCACCTCTATGGGGCTGAGCCTCTTCTATGGGGCTGAGCCTCT